TAATTTTAATACACACAGCAATTGACTTACCACCGTTATATTTAATCTGATATAAAAAGCTGGCACAATAAAATAGAAAAACAAATTTTTGAAAACGTAGAATTGTTCGATCATTTATTATACTAAAGACTCATTTAGATTCAAAAAATTGCACGGTTTATAAAATACACAAAATATACGTAAAAAATTCACATTTAGTTTTCACATTTAAGTTTTCCTCATTTTTTGGATGTTTAATCTAAAAAAAGATTATCGAACAAGGGACAATACCATTTCCATACAGCATGAGGATTTTCTTAATATTTATTTTAAGCATGGCATAAACACTGGTGCTTATGTGCCCCAGGCTAAGATGCGGCTTAGTGATAGAAGTTAAAAGCATGTATGGTACAGCCAATTCAAAAAATCTCTGTATCACGCATAACTTGTTTTACTTTTTCATACCCGAGACTTGGAACTAAACGGTTGTATGTTTATGCTGTGGTATGTGTTGAGGCAAAATGGCATACAGCGCCCCAGGTCATGACATCGTGAATAAAAAATTTTCATAAATGTGGCTTATCTGATTTTGTAAAACTTCAGTTGATAGAAATTGATATTGAAATATACCACAGATATTCATTGAGTTGGTTTAAATAATACGAAGGTCAAATCTAACCATCTAACAAATTCCATTTTGCTGACTGTAGAATGTTGTAACTATTTAATAGGTATGAGAAAAAAAATACTGGGAGTGGGCACAGGACACAGATATTTTTAATTATATTTTTTTAAGATAAATCACAATGGTAGTAAAGTATTTCAAAATAATATGGAAGCATATGAATATTCATATCATTAAATTTCATCATTTTTCAATTTGCACTAAAGGCGACATATTTTGAAACATTTATACTTATTCTGAAAATCTCATCAAAATTGTTAATGAATAATATAATTTTCACATCAGCGTTTTTAGTATAAATTCAAATAACTGAAATATACGAAGTTCATCAAATTTGACCGCTGCGATAAACCATTGAATATAACAAATATGATAGGATGTCCAAGTATAAAAAAAATCAGTATGAAAAAGTGAGGTATATTGAAAATCTTTTGATCAGTTTGTATAGAATGTTTTAAATTTGATTAACCATATCATAAGAGGATCAATCACAACCAAGTTGGATTAAACCCTTTGAAAAACGTTTATAACAATCTTTTTACCGCTCAAAGTGTGGAGTTTCAGCAAGAAAATATGTAAATGTGAATCAAAGGTAAACAAAACCCTAATTTTATAAAATGAATCAACCATAAACAAAGAAAGTGTGAGAACAATTCCAAAATACCCAAATGTTTTATAAACACTGTCGAGACAAACAAAATAACCTAAGATAAATGAGTTTAAAACTATTTTTATGATTTCAGTACAGAATGTCACATAAGATTAAAGTTCAGAAATAAAATATTCTATCTTCAGTCTATTATAATTTTCAGCATAAACTAAATCTTAATTAAATTATATAATTATATAATATAATTTAATTTCAATTCCAAGTTTTCTGGAGTCTTAGAAAATTAGAAAAGGGGGAAAGTGGTAATGATCTTTTTAGCCTACAATGACTGCCGAAGCACTACTTAATTAAAGGTTGGCATATATTTTGAGGCAGAGGAATTCTGAGCCATGCTTGAACATGAGTGATCTGTGTTTAGAAGCATATCAAATCCATGAATCAAGCTTGTTAGATGTTTGATAGAGATAAGTAAATTCTTAACAGGGTTATAACTGACAGATGAGTGGGCTGCCATGTGTTGTTCTTCTCTCTCTCATATCTTTAAGAATGAGGATTAGGACAAACACACAGAAAGAAAAAGGTAAAACTTATGCTAACACCTGAACGAGCGAGCAATGAGGTGAACACGACATACATGCGCAGTGGAATTTCACGGTTTATGAATTTGACTTGTTTCATTGAACATCACAGTTTTAAAATATGACTTCATTTAGGATCATAATAAATTGAGAAAAACTTGAATGAAATGATCAGTGAATACGTAATATGACTTGTCCACTTACGGCCCATAGAAAAAATACTTTTTTCATGATAAGAATTACGAATATTTTTGTATATGAAACCATGTCACGCTTCAAATAGTATCAGCATATAAAGGAGTTTAGTTTACAATACCAGTATGAAAAGGCACAATATTTGATTCTTCATAACACAATATATTTCTTGTATCTAATCAAAGCAATAAACAGAATATGAAGCTGAATTAATAGCTTTGAATTAACAGTTTGGTTATGACAGTTTTAGATATTCCTGGCGATAACATGCTGCAAAATCAATCACAGCCGATAGTCTGGTTTCAGGGAGATAATATATTTAGATACTGTTTATAAGGCACCAGTGGAAAGTCTGATATATAAATCAAATTTTAAATGTTATTAAAGCTAGTCCTAAGTTATATATTTTTGGCAAAACAATCAACGCTTGAAGGCAGGTTGAATTTTGACTATTTGAATTCACAACAATTATCTATCTCAAATATAATCAGGTAAATTCAAATTTCACTATTTTCAGCTAAAAAGTTCCTATATTCTTCTTTGTGACAAGTGAAAACTCAGTAACTTGCATAAAGATTATGTTAAATCGACGGGTATTTCACATAGATTCGCATTTGACAACCTGGATCCACAGCGATCACAGGGTCAAATTTCTAAACATATTATTACATTCACTGATTAAAGAACGCCATTGATATAAAAGATTCAAATGTCCCATAGGAACTCGGCTTAATGTTAAATTTATTATTAGGCATCCTTGTTGATGTTGAAATTATTTAATATTTCATAGGATAGGACACAGCTGTGAGGAGTCAGTTGTTATCTCACAATCAAGGGTGCTGGATAAATCAGGTATAAAAAAAAAATTAAGAGTTTAAATAACAAAACAAAAGTACTGTATTTTTTATAAAGTTATGAATAATCATGGCCATAACCATGATACTTTGCTAAACTTAGAAATACCTAAATAACTAAATACCAAATCTATTGTATTTTTATGAAGTCGTTAATAATCATGCCCATAACCATTATAATTTGCTAAACTATGTTGTAATTCAGTTAATTCTCCATTCACTTCTATTTTGAATGGATTCGGTAGAAAACAAAAGTATAATTCCGGAAAATAAATGAAACTGCTGAAAAATATAAAAGTTATCTGACAATTGGAAGTTTATAAACTAGGTTAATTGCGTTTCGATATCACAAATTAAAAAAAAAAAGCTATATTATGAATATATAATTAATTAAAAATATATAGGACTCTTGGTATCCTTTGTGCCTGAAATATATTTTTTCTGTTATAATTCACGCATAATTCAGAAATGCCAGACCATTGTCATGTCGGAAAACAGTAGTTGGGTATTCTAAAGTTCTGACTGGAATCAAGTTTGAGTATTTTTAATTAATAGATAAATTTTGCAAGACGCTAATCACTGTAAATCAACAACAATTATAAAATTATTAAATATATTATTCTTCATAAACTAAGTATGACCCGAGCAGAACCATAGAAAAAATGCAAAAGCCAAGTATAGTAATGCTCGATTGAACATAGCAAAAGTTGGCAACAGGCCATAACGAATATTTTTTCTGTGAGAATAGGTTAACCATTACCATGAGTTATAAGATTTGAAATTATTAAAAAATGCGAAATTTGTTTTTGAATTGTTATAAAAAAAGTTGCTTTCAAGTTGAAGACAGTGACATAGCCCTGTGTTAAATGTTGATTTAGTATTGTAGTAACATGAGCTCAGCCAATTGTTGAAGCTTTTGAACAATGGTGGATGGAAGGTAATCGAATTGCCTACAGTTAGTCGTACTGCCACTCACAGAGAAAAAATTTATTTCAGATACACTCTAAGTAAACATTGGAACTAGTAACCGAATTCACAATGATAATAATCATATTAAAGTGTACTATCTAAAGAGGTATGGCCCTGATTTAATAAGGAATTGAAACAACATTATAATTAGGTCAGTAGAACAGATATTTAAAATTGATTTATTGCAAAAATCAAAAGGCTCTGTTTTAGTTTAGGAAAATAATTTTGTAAGTATTTTTTTGCAGGATATTCCAATTCCAAATGACTTAACCCTCAAGACACATGATTTATAATTGACTAAGCCTTATTTGCTTAAAATTAAGGTTATATCTTATAGTTAATAACAAAACCGAATCGAAAAGTTTTTTAATTGGAGTCAAAATTTTTAATCAAAATCACTCTTAGTATGTCGGATATAATTTTTACCATTACAAGGAGGATATGAACATAATATTATGTAATTTTTGAATTTTCCTATGAATTATAATACAATATTGGGTGCACATTTACCAGGAAGACATTCAAATGTTTCAGAAATCATGCTACACAACAATTTGAAACATACATGATCAATGCCTGCCTGCAATGAACGCCTGCAACAGCAAACAAGTTTACTGATTCGATCATAACACAGTTTTTTTAAGGTTAAACCAAGTTTAAAAGTTGATAATGATAAGGGTAGCAAATTAGCAATGCAGGCAACTAATAAATTACAACAATAAAACAACAATTGGGCATTTTTGAAAGTTTTTTAGCAAAGCAAATTTTCAAATCCACCCACAATACAGCAAGATTACTACATATAATTAGAGTGCATTAACAAAAAATACCCTCAAAGAGTCTCACTAGTTTCCCAAAAGACCAATTATTTATCATTTACTTTTAAATTTGCCTCAAGTTCAGTTTCTGAACTTTTATAATAATCATAACTGAATTCCTACAGACAACGATGAAGTTTGAAACATTGTGTATTCATAAAGATGCCATATCAGTTATTGCTGGCAGATTGAATGTCACAGTATTTGCCGCTGCATATATGTAAAACATGCAAGTTCGCAATATAGTCTTGCATTCATACAGTATTCAAATTCATGATTTCCATGCATACACTTGAAATTATAAAAGCTTACTTGATGAACTGTGCCATCTATTTCCACAGGAACAACAAAATCTGCGTTACTTATAGGCTGAAAGTAAAATACAAAATATAAAATTTAAGAGAACAGATATAGAACTGCTAGACATGGCCCAAACAACTAGACGAAAGATAGAAAATCAAACAGTTCGCTTAATAAAATCTAGATATTCAAACATCACATTAAAATCAGATGTTTTTGTGGCAAATCAATTGGAGTCCGTGAAATTTTACAAGACTTACAACTTGCATTACAAACTTCAATACATTCTGGCTAACACTAAAAAAGGTTAACAGAACTGAACACTAAAATTGGTGATTGAATCTGCAAAAAGATACAAGTCAAATCACAGAACTGCGCTAGGCACAAGTAATTTTCAACATGGAGTTGTATTGAGAGTGCTTATGTGAAACAGTAAAGCTGATCATCTTATAATGTAACTTACCTTAAAAGAACTGTGAACTAAAGTTTCATCCAAATCTATAATAGCACATTTTTTGTTGAGAAATTTTTCAGTAAGTTTTGGCAACAAGGACTTCTGACCGCCATTTTGTGTGGCCTAGAATAAACACAATAACAAATAGAAATACAGAGTATATCTAACTTAATAATAATAACATTAAAACAGAGACAATTATTCAGTTATAAACCAACCAATATTCATTGTAATAAGGAACCAAGAATAGTGATTTTCTTTACAGATAATTTAAAGAATACAACACATGAAAACAGATATGAAACACTGTATATTACTCAATACAAAAGTCAGTTTACTTTTTAATTGGATTAAAACAAAATATTTATATAAAACCTGATAACAGCAAAGTAATATGCAGTCGAAAACTAGCAATCTTAAATTCAGGGTATCCCACTTTTATTATCTATATCCTTTGCTTATTTTTTGATTGAATACCGATAATCATAACACATACATTTCCATTTGGTTCCTCACAGTGGCCATCAGCTGTCACGCTATTGACATGGTTCTTTTTGTTGTCAATACTATTCCAGGCATCTGGTTTATTATTCTTTTGTATATCTCCTCTTTTCCTTGGCTGTCCAAAGCAACATCTCAGTGAACTGAAGAGCGATCTTCGTTTGACTTTCTTTGTCTTTGTATTTGTAACTTCATCTGGTCAATAAATGTTATTTTTAAACCTTTCTCTATATTATTAATTTAAATGTTATATACGGTGATAATTCAAATTTTTTCTTAAATCTCATCTCATGCAACCATCAATATTAATTTAACATAATTTTTCATTTAATATTCCATGAATTGTGAGAAAATGTGTCTATGAGAAAACACGAAATTTTTGGTTTTAGTATTTCAAAATAATCAATGGCCCAGATAGACCTAAAAAATTGAGATTTAATAACAACCTTAATGAGATAATTGAGCAAGACCTAATTGCATAATATTTTTTAATGTTTTGGAAATTTAAATTCTTACTTTTATTTAGAGCAATTAGCTTTGGTAGTCTGAATTTAGCATATATCAGTAAGCATCTGCGGATGTTTTAAATTACGGTAATTATACACAATGCTGGATTATTAGATCACATTGGTACTATTAACCATATGACCCCTAGTAAAATCCACAAGAAGATGGGATGGATATATTGCTGACACCCAGTAACTAAACAATCCGACAACTTGAAATCTCATTTTTTAATAATTTTATTACCAAATGATCCAAGAAAAATTATATGAAACCATTTAACAAATACAATAGTGAGACTGCTCAATTATAGAAGAAATCTGATCATACTAATCATAACCTCAAATTGAATCTTTTTTACATTTGACAGGCAAAAATATTCCATTAGTATAATATCGATAAGTATGCAAATACCTTCTTTCGGTGTATGTCCGTTGCTTAATGCTTCTTCGTCTCTATTGACCTGAGTTATGATGGAAGATCCATCCATCGATTTCTCTGACCTTGAAATACTACAGTGTTTCAATTTTTTTCTTGTTGCAAGTTTAATAGTCAAATCAGCTTTTGAATTAACGTTTATTCCTACACGTTTGGCAACTGACCATGGAAATGATGTCAGCATTACCCCTCAATGTAGACAAATTCTCAAGATCTTTAGCAATTCCTTGTGCAACATATATATCCCAAGTCTACGATATGTATCCAATAAATCCGGTCAAAGATGTTTGGTTAAGAAAGATGAAATAATTATAAAAAATTTCACTAAAGTATTCCAAACATTTTCAAACAGGATACAAAACACTTTGATAGATTGAACTGAAGGCTATATCTGCGGAAATTCAAAAAGCATTAAAATGTTGCCTTTACGCTGATAATCTATCAAAATTACATGGTTTAGTCCTGCCAATAGTAAGATACCAAAGCACTATCCAAATGAATATATACAACCTCACTGTCTATGCATTTGAGAAAAATTTCATCATCATTTCGGAGCGCAGTTTCAATCCATTTGTAAGGCACTACCTAACAGAAAGTGAAAGATTATAGAGGGTGGCTTGGGAATGTGTATCAAAATGAGGCCCCCAGCTATATAGTATGACTCAAATTTAACTGCCCAGTGTGTAATAAAGTACATGGTTGACAAATGGATGTGTTAGAATCCCGTTGTTTGTGGTTGTGTTTGTGCTATTAGACTAATATTGACAAGTATGGCACCATATGCAATGAGTGCTATTATGATCCAGTCCTTAATAATAATTGAGAAACAATCCACTCAGATTTATATATTTTCCAATCCAGTAGTGTTCAGTAGGTAATTTTGTTATGTTTAGTCAAACTTGGAGAAGCAAAAATTTTCTTAATAGGAATAGAATGTTGAAGTGAAAACAATGCATATAATTCTGAACTTGAAAAGATACTGTTACATATTGCTATCCAATTTATCCTGAACTTTCCTAGCTTTGGTTTTTGATTGGTATTTTACTTACTGATTGCTAACATTTAGAAGTGATTGAAATGGCCTGCCTATACCAAAATGATATGGAAATAATGCATCTGGGCATGATTTTGTTTTTAAGAATCACAAACTAAACTGAAATGCCTCCTTAATTTTCAAAACTGAAAAATATTCAAGCCAGTGGTTCTCAAACTGAGTGCAGTGGAACGCCATGAGCAATTCTTAAGCATGCCACAGGATTTAAGCACCATGGAGGCAATTCAGCAATTACAGAATTATGTTTAGTTTGATTTAAATGGCAATAATAATTGCAAGTTGAGATAAATATTTCTTTTTTGACCTTTGGCGACCTTGTTATAAATCCTATGTAATGACAGAATAACCAGAGTTTCAAGGTCATCGAAATAATACTGCGAAATAATAATACTCTGAAAACACAGAAACTTGTATTTTTTGCTGCGAGTTGAATTGAAAATAAATTTCAAGACCTAGACTTCTGCCCGATTAATATATGAACATGCAACTACAGAACTAACGTTACATGAACTATCCCTTTCTCCAGGTCTACCGTATGTGTCTTGTCTTTCTGTCTTTACCTCTGTACCGGTACCGGTACCATACCGGTACCTGCATTGCAGTAGTGCGACTGACGGAGGTCCAGTTTCCGAGTTAGCACACCCCCATAACCTGGTACGTACGGTAGTGCAGTAGTGATAACATACCGTACATACAGACAGACATAACATGAACGGTGAACATGACGGTTATCAAAATATGCATTTGGTACAGTGGTACTCGGTACGTACGGTATTAACTTTCGTATGACCTGGAATGGGCATGTTGCCAGACCTATTGATAATTTGGTACTTGTAGATAATAAACCTGAACTGCCTGTCAAACTACGATAGCCAACTATAAAATGTAATAGCAATAGCGGACGAATAACTAACGACAAATTCACTGATGACTGCAAATTCCTTTGCGAGCATGCGCATGCACACGCATACTTCGTTGAAAAAATCAAGAAAAAAAAACAACGCACCCGCACACACACGTCTCGGACAATTTTTTTCACGTAAATAATCCCTTCGAAATCGCCGACCGTATAAAACGTCATGCTGCAAGAATTTTGTTCGCGCGCTAGCGGGAAATGTGGGCAGAAAATGTCACGTAAAATTTTCAATACCAGCTGGTATGGCTAAGGGACTGTATTGTTAAAAATAACTTTACTACGAAAAATTATCATTGACTGATTAGAACAGGCCCATCAAGAGCGATTGGACACCCGCTATTCTTTCACGATTAACATCTGGAACTGGCTAAATATTTGGAAACAGACTTACTTCTTCGAGTTTCCGATTTGGGGGTCAATCTGGGGGTCTATCTGAACTCTCTATAGAATAGACGTTTTGTCCACCAATCATATATTATCATGCAGTCCGTCTTTTAATGTCAGGCAAAATCCTTGTTTGGTCTTCACATCTATTTGGCTAGAATTTCCCAAATTAGACCCTCAGCCTTGTGCAAGCTGTGAGTGCTAAAATCTGTATGCAAAAACATCATGGGTGTAGCATACGACTGCAACAGAGCGTGGGCATAGGGAACAGAAGCAATGGTGGGATTCAGCCGGTTCAATATTTCAATGATCACTCTGTCTTTCTAGGAGTTTTGATTTAATTGCAGTAATAAAAATTAGTGTAGAAATAGCTGTGATAGACTAGCCTGAAATTCTTTATCAGTACTTTTAAAAAACAGATTGTTGTATGCGATGAATCATAATGATGGTTTGAAATACATACCCCATTTTACAGGCGCCAACTCGCAAAAGCACTCTCAAAATAGCCCCGAAAATTTTGCAATGGTAAAGTATAGGAAGAATTTTCAGGGGGTGAAAGGTCCATGGTAAAGTACAGGGAGAATTTTCCGAGGGTCAAAGGTCGGGGAAAGGTCTATAGAACCGTGTCACGGCTTTTATGAGATCAGCAAACCGGTTAGCATTACTGGTTATTGTCAATGACTTTTTGTAACAGAACCGGTTGAATAAATATGACTTTTGTGATGAAACCGGCTGACAAAAAATTTGAATCCCACTACTGAACAGAAGGTGACCGTATAAGTATAAGTTTATTCCGCGGGTCCAATCTATATGCGGGTGCTAAACCCATGGGTTATGGTTAATATGAGTTCAAATATCCGCAAAACAAAAATAAATTTCATAGGTGCAATATATGCAGGTGCAATTGTCGTGGCTTCAAATGTACGGGAACCGAAACAGAAAAACGAGTAATTTTATCCCAGCTTTTTATGAACTGTTTTATTTGCGGCAACTAAACAGAAACTTTTCTGAAGACCAAACTATCGTTATTTGTAAGGTTACCATATTTTTTTGACTTCGAAGCGGGACGCCTCCTGTAACTTTACATTTTCCGATTTACTATAGGCCGATTTAAGCCATCCCGTCTGTCTTCATTGACCATATTGTCATCGAGAGTTCATGCGCATATTCTCGGTCTAAATATCGGGTTAAGTTCGAAAAATATAAAGAAATAGACGCTAACGATACAAATGATCCGACGTTGGATTTTTTTATGAACAGCAAAAGGAATGAAGAATAATGAAATAGCCTGCTATTTTCAAACATTGAGAATTTACTTATTCGTACATGCTTTTCTGTAGCCAACACCTTTAATAAAACGTTGTTCAATGTTACATTCACGTGAACGTCCGAACAGGACCAATTAGGATTGATTTTACATGTGATACGTTTGTTAACAATGTTAGCGGGAAACAACGAAATAAACAAAATAACGCACCCACCTTCAGTGAGCACGCTAGCGTTGCGCTACACACAGTGGCGTAGCATCCACCCCCGCGGTCGCCCCACAGCGAAAAGGTGCCCCAAGCGGTTAAAATTTAGAAATTTAAGCCGCAAAACCAAAAGCTGCATTGCAAAAGCAGTAATGCACATCTTAAAATGTTGATGTTAGTTCTGCTCAAATCGTTTTGTTACGTAACAATGCCAGAGTCGTCGATTTTCGGCGTCGTGTGGTTTGATCGCACTGGCCACCGGCACAATTACGAAGGCTGTCAGATTGATGTCGAAAGCAAAACCTCTCAGTGGCGCAAAAAAAAAAACGAAGAATAAGGGGCAGAAGAGGAAGAACGTATGAAAAAAATTAAAGCAACCAAGATAAACGAAATATTCAAACCAAAATTGAAACAAGAATACCGGACGTAACTGAGGAGGAATTAAGCCTAGCACCGGCGGTATCGGTAGAAAACCAGATGCGTGTTCAATCTCCAAAAGTGATGGCGCCGGCGCGAATGAATTTTCTTCCAAAACTTACACGACAATTATATATCACAGGTAAGCTACTGATTTTTGAAGCAAATTGAAAAAATTGATATGACGAAGATGTGGATGAGTTTGCCAACACGAAAGCGCAAATTTTAGATTACCAAACTTACCATAGCCTTTTTATAGCGACATGTTATGCTTTTTGACGAAATAAATTTTTTTTTTTAGCTTATGTGCGAGTTTTTAGGGTCATTTCCACGAAATATTTTTGTGGGGGGCCCACGAGAGTCTTGCTACGCCACTGGCTACACAGAAACAACAGTAACGAGTATATGTTGGTGTATTATGCTGGATGGCTGAACGCAAAAGCGGGCCTTTGGCTGACGTGGCGGGACAAGACGCTAAAAAGCGGGACTGCCCCGCCTAAAGCGGGACGTATGGTAAGCCTGGTTGTTTGATATATATATATATATAAATAGCTGTAAACGTGGTGTTTAAATAAAATTTTAATATTTCAAAAATGTAAAAATATTTACAAATATCATTTTTTTTGTTGTTTTCTCACTGCCTGTTCTCAAATTGACGCCCATTTCAATTCGAGAAAGTCTGTAGGACGGGCTTGTCGTGAGGTTGGAATTTCAAAGTCACATGTTATCGAATTATTCAACAATGTCACTGAAAAAGTTATATTCAAAGATTAATCCATGCCATCCTGACCGAAAAGCACAGTTTCGCAGGTGGTATTTGCAACAACGTGAGGAAAATGCAGATTTTTCAATAAAGATTGTGTGAGGTGACGCGGAGAGTTTCATTTTCAGCTAGATGGGGCACACCAACATTACCATCGCAATGTTAGGTATCCGCCCCGTTCATCTGACGTCACACCACTTGACTTTTTCTTATGGGGATACCTTAAAGACAAAGTGTATACTATGGAACCTGCAATAATTGCTTGAAACCCACTGAGCATGAATGTACCCAAATACCAAGGGAATTGTTTCACAATGTGTGCGATTCCATTGTTTGGTGTTGCCAGAAGTGTCTGGATTAAAATGGGCGTCAATTTGAAAACACCTTAAAGACAAAGTG